CACGGGGACGTGAAGAAGTCCACCCAGAAGGTGCTGGACCCCAAGAAAGACGTGCTGATCCGCCTGAAGCACCTGCGGGCGCTGCTGGGTGAGGCGCGCCCCGGGCCGGGCTCGGGGCGCCGGGGCGAGGCACCTGCCGGGCGGGGGCGTCCGTCCGGGGTCGGGGCTGGGATGCCGAGGGGGAGGGGTGGGCGTCAGCCCCTGTCCTCTCGGTCTGGGCTCGGTCCCGGCATTGTTCCCCTGAGAGCAGCCGCCTGGCCCCGGCTCCGCTGCGCTCGCCCTCCAGAGTACACTCATCCCACTCTCGCTGGGCTCCTGTCCTCCCGGGTAACCTGAGGCCGGGGACGGCGGTGACTTTCCCCCCCCCCCGCCGGCCCCCCCCCCCCCCCCCCCCCATCCCCCCCCCCCCCCCCGCCAGTAGAATGGTCCCCCAGTCGTCCTCACACGCTCACGTGGAGCTGTCACCTCCCCCTTCCACTTTTACAATTTTATTTTCGAGTCTGAGACCCAAGTAGGCTGAAACCCCAAGTGGTCCCAGCAGGGACTTCACTGAACTCTCACCTACCTCTCCCGCCTCCTCCCCTTTTAAATTTTGTTTTTACTTTAGAGTCTGAAGATTCCAAGTGGTCCCAACATGATGTTAATTGTCCTCTCTATTCCCATGCCCCCTTTCAAAATTTATTTTTTATTTTGGGTCTGGCTGCTTCAGTTTTTTGTCGTTCTTGTTGGTGCTGGGAGGGGTGGCTTTCTAGGGTTCAGGAGGCTGCTTCTCCTTCATTACCAGGGTGAAAGTGACAGTGATGTTCTTTGCCACCTTTGAGTTTATGGCTGGTAGAGTGAAGGTTCCAAGGAGCACAAATGGGCCTGAGTTGATTTGTGATGAAGCACACCCCTGTGAGTGTGAAGTGTCCCCAAGGCTTCCTGTCACCCGCTGTGTGTGCTCTGTAGCTGGTTTGCCTAGGTTATGTTTTCTTTTCTTTCTTTTGACCTCCTTAGTCTTAAATTTTGTTAAGGATGAAAACACCTTTGCTGTGTGCAGACTTGTCTTTGTGTATGTGAGCCCTAGGAAAGGAGACCCTATACTTCTTCGAGATGTCTTTTAGTCTTAAAATGAACAAAAATTGTCTAATCTTAATGTGTCTGTTTCACACTTGAGAAAATGTGGTATAAAAGAATTTTAACGAGAGAATTTTAAATAAAGATCTTGTTCATGAGATTAAAAGTTGCAAATTCTTCCTGTTTATATTCTGTGAACTACCTCTAAGGGGGAATAAGCAAACAAACCCAAAACAACACCCGATTTTGCAAGCGAAGATACTAACAATCTCATATTCCTTGAGGTTACACTTTGTTCAGTTTTAAGTGAAATGTAAATTGGTTACTGTTGGAGGGATTAGTTTTCAAGACTTTTGAAAGTGAAATGCAGTGTTCTTGATAAACTGAAGTTTCTACTTCCTGTAGTAAAATACCTCGCACACACAAGTTGCATTGTGCGGTGTTCCTAGTAGTGACTGATTAACACCTACTGCAAGGACTTTTTTTGATAAAGGAGAGTTGAGCAGTTATTTTTAAGCATTTGATACTTTGAGACTTTTTCGGTGCTTGAGCGTTTAAACTTTTTGTTCTGTCCTAATCTACAAGATTAAGTTGGCTACATTGTATAAAATTGGGTACATTATATAAAGATTAAGTTGGCTATACTATAAATTGACTACATTGTATCAATTAAACCTAGCTCAGTTTGGTTTCTTAGAGCTACACAGTACATTGTTCCCATTCTGAGAAAGTAGATCTGTGTACTTTTCAAGTCTGTGTAATCGTAGTTTCACTCTAGGTGTGTGTTTTATTTTAAGGGACTTTCTTTTATCATTGCGTTGAATTCACTATGACCTCAGTTTTGTCACATGGAGAAGTTCTTTGATATTTTCTTAGGTGTATGTTCTTTGTTAATGCACTTATTTGTGGAATGGCCCAGTTTCCTTTATTACTGTGATCTTTATCTGTAGGGACTAGATTTTTGTAAAATGTGTCTGAGAAATTGTAGTCATAATGTTTAATGTAAGCTTTTGCTTACAACTGTGGTTTAAAGACTTTAAAGAAAAATAACACATTAACGCACTGTTTCCTACCACATCACATACCCTATTTGGTTGCTACTTAAAACAAAAAGTCTGCTTAGAAAACAAAGGCTTCTTGAATTTAAAAATAGGAATTAAGTCAAGATCAGGGAAATTATGTGAAGGAAATGAATAGTAATTACTATTTTATTATGTGTATGTTTATATAACACTTTTGCTTTTCATGCATGGTATCTTCAAGTGATAATAAAAATTTGAAAAAACAACAACAACAGATTATACCACTGACCTGGGTTTGTAGTCTGTTTCTGCCACTTGCAGCTGCATGACTTGGGCTAATGACTTAGTCTGTCTTTGAACCTAGATTTCTTTATAAAATGGGCATGATAATGTCTGCCTTGTAAAGATTATTGTGAGTGTAATGTATAAGTGACTTCAGGTTGGAGTAGGCATTTAACAGTTTCCATTAGTTCTCTGCCACTACGAAGAGGATAGGACAACTGTTTTGGTGGGCAGTTCCTCCTCCCCTCATTCTTTCTTATTTTTGATAATAGTGATGGATTTGCTCTTTTTCCGAAAAGATAACATACAATTAGCTGTGGAAAGTAGAGTATTCCTTAGTATCATGGTAATAACTCCAATTTGAACTCATTTTGATATTTTGACCTGGTTATATGTTGTAAATGGTCTGATATGATTAACTTTATTTTACAGAGGGAAAACTAAAGCATGGGCAGGCTTGACGTGTGCTAATGGTTTACCTGTATTATGTTAGAGGAAGAACAAAGAGCTGTTAGGTCCTCTGACTTCCAGTTCTCCCTGCACTGTTGAAATCATCATTGAGAAAGTAAATGAGTAAACAAAACAAAACCCCCCAAGCCCCTCCCCTGTATATTACCATGTTACCATATTGCTCCAGTAATGATACCATGTCTTATTAAAAGTCCATGTCTAATTTGAGTCCCAAATTAGGATACAGAAGGAGCACTGATAGAGCGAGAAGAATACATGTAAAATATTGAGTTGGTTGATGTGTAGGCTCGCCGTGTTTGTTTGTGGTATGGCAACACTGTGGTGTTGGGAGTTTATGGTTTGCCGTGTCATTTGGAGGGATAATGTGCTTGTGAATACGCCTTGCATTTTGCAGCTCTGAAGTAAGTTAGTGCCATTTGTGGGTTAAAAAAGATGGAGTGTCAAGTGGAAAAAAGCGAATAAACACTTTGACATATTCTTCTGTTTGAGTTTAACAGAGGAGTAAAGGCTGCAGAGGTGGCTCAAGACTTTGTGCCATGTTAGGGAAGAATGCCAAGGGGGAAAGAATGGCGAAAAAGTGATTTTGTCCTTTCAAAGAGGGCAACTTTGACCTGAGTGATTCTCTACGTTTAGGAAGATCATTGGCTTTGATGAAGACTGTTTAAACACTAATCCACAGTGATCCACGTCAGTCAACCTGAGAATTGGCAAATGTGATGAACTGTGTGTGACTCATCAACCATCAAGCAGCATTTGCTTTCCATGGACAAGCAAAAAATGCTACAAGCATATGTGTCAACCCAATACTAGTAAATGTATGGAGTGTGATGTGTGATGCAAATAGATAGTTGGTTATATGGAAGACTCCATTTTAGGATCTCAAGGGACAAAAAGATCATTAAGAATGGCACAGGCTGGGCGCGGTTGTTCAAGTCTGTAATACCAGCAGTTTGGGAGGCCGAGATGAGGGGACTGCCTGAGCCCACGGGTTTGAGAACAGTCTCGCAACTTGGCAAGACTTCATTTCCACAATAAACCAAAAAATTATCTGGGTGTGGTAGCGCGTGCCTGTAGTTCTGGCTATTTGGAAGGCTGAGGTGGAAGGATCCCTGAGCCCAGCAGGTTGGTGCGGGGTGGCAGTGAGCATGCCACTGCACTCCAGCCTGGGTGATGGAGTGAGATTCCAACTCAAAAAAAAAAAAAAAAGAAGCCAGGCTCGGTGGCTCAGCCTGTAATCCCAGCATTTTGGGAGGCTGAGGTGAGTGGCTTGCCTGAGCCCGCAGGTTCGAGACCTGCCTGGGCAACTTGGTGAGACCTCATCTCTACAATAAATCAAAAATTAGCTGGGTGTGGTAGTGCGCACCTGTAGTTCCAGCTACTTGGAAGGCTGAGGCGGAAGGATCGCCGGAGCCCAGCAGGTCGAGGCTGCGGTGGCTGGGAGCGGTCACTGCACTCCAGTCTGGGTGACAGAGACTCCAACTCAAAAAAAAGAAAAGAAAAGAAAAGAAAAAGAATGGTGTAAACCGGGCATGGTGGTTCACATCTGTAATCCCAGCACTTTGGAAGGCAGAGGCAAGAGGACTGCCTGAGTCCAGAGATTCAAGACCAGCCTGGGTAACTTGGTGAGACCTTGTCCCTACAATAAAAAAAAAAAATTAGCCGGGTGTGGTGGCATGTGCCTGTGATTCCAGCTACTTGGATGGCTGAGGTAGAAGGATCAACTGAGCCCAGCAGGTCAAGGCTGTGGTGGCCGTGAGCATGTCACTGCACTCCAGCAAAAACCCCAAAACAAAAAAGAATGGCACAAAAATAAGGACATCTTGAAGGAGGTTTCACTCCTGCCAGGCTCAAAGAGTAGTTAGACTAGCTCTGTCCAACAGAACCATGATGTGAGCCACATGTGCACTTTTAATTTTTTTAGTAGCCACATTCTAAGAAGTAAAAAGAAAAGGTTGGAATTAATTTTAGTTGTGTATTTTATTTAACCTCATGTATCTAATATGTATTTTATCAGCAGGTTGTCAATAGAAAATGTTAACACCATTTTTTACATTACTGTTTCATACTGAGTCTTTGAAACCTGATGTATGTCGGACACTTACAGCGCAGGTTGTTCCTATGAGCTGTGTTTCAAGGACCCAGTGGCTGCCTGTGGCAAGTGGTTTCACTCTGCGAGTGGGGTTAGGGAAGGGGGACTGGGGAGCATTTCCCACCAGGGAAGATGGACGAGCTGGTAATGAAAGTACACATGGCAGTG